CTCAAGGGTGTGGGGGGGGGGGGGGGGGGCCTCGTATGTCTTCTTTACAGACATCAGAAAGTTCTGTTCTGCAAAGATATGGAGAATTGTTGCTATTATTGTCTTCTGATTGATAGATTTTACCTTGCTACAAAGATATTAGATACCATTGTGCCCTAATAATACACAGGTTCATGATTTATATCTGACCTCCCCTGGCCCTAAGGGCCCCTATAAACCTACACAATTACTGTAATACACAGATATGGGGGATCCAAGTCCGATACATTGTCCTAATACACAGATATAGGGGATCCACGTCCGATACATTGTCCTAATACACAGATATGGGGGGATCCAAGTCTAATACACAGATATGGGGGATCCCCGTCCGATACATTGTCCTAATATACTGTAATACACAGATATGGGGGATCCACGTCCGATACATTGTCCTAATACACAGATATGGGGGATCCACGTCCGATACATTGTCCTAATACACAGATATGGGGGATCCACGTCCGATACATTGTCCTAATACACAGAAAGCCAGCTCCATAAAGACGTGGTGTGACCAGCTTTGAACTTGAGTGTCCCCCACAGAGCCCTGACCTCAACCCTACTGAACACCTTTGGGATGAATGTGAGTAAGGTCTTCTCTTCCAACATCAGTACCTTGTAGACAATTGGGCTCCTCCAGCCTTGTGGTCACAGTTTGATGAAGACCCTTTTCTGTTCCCACCATGACTCCCCCCTGTGTACAAAGCCAGCTCCATAAAGACATGGTGTGACCAGTGTGGTGGAGGAACTCGAGTGTCCTGCACAGAGCCCTGACCTCAACCCTACTGACCACCTCTGGGATGAATTGGAGCCAGATCTTCTCATCTTGGGGTTCTTCCAGAATAGAGCAGTGGAAGACTGGTAGACAGGAGATCCATCTTCTACTGCTCTCTACTCAATGAACCCCTAGAAACCTCTGGAGGAACCCCAGGACCAGAAGACCTGATTCTCAATTGGCATTCCAAATCTTGTTCTGGAGATCACCTTGGGGATGAATTGTAACCAGACTATGAACCAGGACCTCTTGTCTAACATGGTGTGGCCAGTTTGGTGGAGAAACTCGAGTGTCCTGCACAGAGCCCTGACCTCAACCCTACTGAACACCTTGGGGATGAATTGGAGCCGGGTCTTCTCATCCAACATCAGTACCTGACCTCACAGATGGGACAAACTCCATCAGATACCCTCCAAAATCTAGTGGAAGCCTTCCCAGAAGAGTGGCGGGATGGTATAGACACAAAGAAGGGTAATGCCATAGTTCGGGGATGGGATGTCCAACAAGCTCATGTAGGTGTGATGGTTGGGTGTCCACAGCGGTTTATCCATGTAGT